TGAAAATAGTTTATGTTATTTAAGAGCCAAGACAAACACTGTAGAGGCAGTAATCTCAGGACAAGACAGAATAAAACACCACATTTGGTGATGAAAACAGTGAAGTCTTGCGTATGTGAACATCAAAACAGTCCCTTCAGCAGATATACAAGGAGATAAAGGCACCTCCTCAGTGCTTGGAGGCATATAAACAGTTTCTTGAGTTCAGATGCTGGATATGTTTTCCTGGTGTAAATCTATTGAGGCAAGACAAATCCTCCCACACAGAAGCCAGCAGCCAATCAACATCTCTCTGCCTGGTCTAATAAAAATAGATTTTACAGTTAACTGTTTCTGTTGAATGATACACGAAGGGCAATGTACCATGAGGAGGGATGTTGGTTGTAGGGGCACACAATGTAGCCTATAGCTGTGTATACAATTGAATAACTAGTCAATACAATGTCAACGTGACCTCAGCTATGATATTGAGATAACTGATCTGTGGGATTGTATAACTATAAGAGAATTTCAAGCTGGCAGATGTGGTCAGCGAGGGATTACAGGACCATTTTACACAACACTGTATTTGCTTAAGCACATTTCAGTCAAGGTGAGGGGGCTGTGCATTGTTCCAGCTCATGAGCAAACAGAAATACTGCAGAGGTGCTTGAACTGGACAAAATGTGTTATGTGCTAAAAAAACAAAAACAACCATTAGAAATGGAAATGATTTTTTATTGGACTAATTAGTTTATAGTGCAAGCTAAATTCACAGCAAATTCACTTTAAGGGTATTCTATAGTCTTTTAGCACAATCCCTATTTTACTATAATGTATGGCGCATCTTTTCGTTTTTAGGGAATTTGCATACTACTACACTAACTTTTGCATAGTAAACTTTAACATTATTTGGACATAAACTTTTTTTTACAGACGGAAAAAAAAAAGCTCATCAGCATTGTGGGTGAGATTTGAGCCCACGAGCGCAGAGCTCTGTGGATTAATGAAGCACGTTTCAAAATAATACCGCCTCCGTACTGCGGGACAGCGAAACGATACAGCAGCGCCATCATGCGGTTACAGAGGGTTTAGCAGGTTACACAATTTTGCATGTAAAAAAAATAACATCAGCTTCATGCATAAATCAAATTTGATTCGTAATACATTCAAATCCAAAGCATAAAATGAATACACATTCAAATAAAAAATGATAAATTAACTGAAATGATAAATGAACGGAGACTTGTTTGTTGTTATCATGCATATTACATATAAAACATATTTTATATTATTTTTTTCGTTAAAATATTTGTGTATATGCAATGACG